CACTTAAAAAGAGAGGACAGGATCATTAACGGCAGGAACGCATAGCTTATTGACTGCTAGACGTAGGGTCTTACTAGGTGTACGTAGAACACCAACTCTTACGGAGCCATAAGCTTTTGACTCAAGCTAATAGCAAATTATGATCCTTAAGTCATATGACATCGTTGATTTTAAGGCTGTGGGATGTATTGCAGGTATTCCTCGCTCAATTGTAGTCAAGACGTATATTATATAAGTTAACAAGTGCCCCTCGCACGTTTCGCACATTACGATGCGTTGCACGCATTTGTCACAGGCCTAAGAAAAGGGTTGAGAGCTGCAGTTCTTTCAGCTCAACCAAAAGATCTGCCGTCTGTACTGGCCTTAGCCAGAGACACAGAAACCACCCTAGAGAGATGCGCTTTCTCAGATTCCTATTCTAGCACGAAGAAAGAAAAAGAAAATTATGAAGCTGATCAAAACCACTCCCAAGAGAGCTAATCTCCTAGATTGCCAGAAAAGAATCCCTATTATTGGAAACAGAGACAACAGCACAGCAAAGCTCAGTCTAATAGTGCACAGAAGAACCAAACCCATGCCAAGTCGCCAGAGCCCATGGACGTTGACCCTTCAGTGTCAAAGTTTAGGTAGCAGACAGGTTACAATAAAAATCTGTTCAGTAACGAGCGGGTCCAAATCGAACAAGGCAAAAAAAAGCAGAATTCATCCGAAAGGATCTCAGGTCAGAGGCGCCGGCGGGTGAATAGTACTGTGCAAAGTGAACTCACCCAAGAGGGTGAATACGATAAGTTAGCTCACGAACAGAATGCAGAGATTGCATACGAATGTAAGTCTCTGTATGATAGTCCGTTACATTTTTTAGGGAACGCTCCCGCCATCCGCCTAATACTAAAGTTTCTTATCGATACGAGTGTGGTAAAGAATTACATCAAACCCGTAAGTTCCATCCATTTATTAAGTTTCATTTATTTAGTTCGTTGGAACCATTCGACGGAATTATAGGTTTCGACCTGCGAATGCATCCGAGATGCGAAAATACTACTACTGCATCGACTTCAACTTCTACAATGTAGATGACATAGTCGTCCCAAATTCGGTTAAAACCGACTTCAAAAGTATGATCATGAATAGGAAAAAAGTGTTTTCGACCTCTAACGAGGCATTACCTTTTAATACTGCTGTTGTGGCCACGATTCGCACCATTGACAACGAACCAGTCTATTCAAAGTTATACCTACATCCAATGGGTGTTGCCGATTTCATGAAAGCCGAAATTGAAAACCTACTCCGGAATGGCACAATAAGGCCTTCAAAATCCCCGTACAATAATCCACCTTGGGTTGTTAACACGAAGGTATATGACGAGAACGGAAACAAAAAGGAACGTCTCGTAATAGACTTCAGAAAGCTAAATGAGCGGACTGTCGCCGATAAATAAGATATTGCCAAACCTAGATAAAGCCGAATTTTTCACAACACTAGATCTAAAATCTGGTTACCATCAAATCTTTCTTGCTAAACAGGAAAGTATGAATTTTGCCGATTTCCGTTCGGGTTGAAGAATGCAGATAGCATCTCCCAAAGAGTAATCGATGACGTCTTACGCTAGAAAATCGGTAAAACGTGCTATGCTTACGGTGACAACGTCATAATATTTTCCCAAAATGCAGATCACGCCACATATACTGGGTTCTATAGAGCCTATGCGAGGCCAACATGATAGTCTCAAGGGAAAAAACTAAATTTTTAAAGAAAGTGTAGAGTACCTTGGTTTCGTTGTAACCAAATGAGGCCCGAAAACGGATCCTGAAAGGTAAAAGCCATTAAGGAATACCCTGAACCAAAAACTCTGTTCGAACCTTTAGAAGACGTAATGCTTAGCTATCCTGATTTTCAAAACCTTTTCGAACTAACATCAGACGCTTCGGCTTATGGAAGAAGTCTAAAAGATAGAGGGGCCAACTATGCAACCAACGAAAGATAACTATTGGCCATAGTTTGGGCCCTTGACAAGCTACAGCATTACCTGTACGGTGGTAGAGACATTCACACTTACACAGACCATCAACCACCATCCTTTGCCGTTTCGAACAGTAATCCAAATGCAAAGATAAAAAGGTAGAAGGCATTCATAGATGAACACAACTCAAATGTTTACTCCAAGCCAGGAAAAGACTACCATGTTGCGGATGCTCTTCCTAGGTAGTACATTCACGTGGTAAATGCGCTCTTTTGCGACCTGCCCACGGCTGCGTCTATCCAAAGTTTTGGTTCCGCGAATAGAGAGTTATGGACGTCACAGACAAAACAGAATAAAGGGAGATTGCGATAAACAAATTCTAGAGGAGTACTACTTCCCAAATATTGGCCAAAGAGATAGTTGCAAATTACAAAAACTATACTAAGGCCAAATACAACGGGTATCCAAAAAACCAAGTCCATGGTGAAACCCCAATTCCATCGTATTCCGGCGAAATTTTGCACATCGACGTGTCTTCAACTGGCAACTAGCAGTTTTTAACATGTATCGACAAATTTTCTAAGTTTGCAATAGGGCAACCAATTGTGTCTCGTACTTTAACGGACGTAAAAACCCCTTTAATACAAATCTTGAGCTACTTTCCAAAAACAACAACTTTATACTGCGACAACGAAGCAGCCTTTAACTCCGAAACCTCAATGCTAAAAAACAGATACGAGATATATGTGGTGAATGCCCCACCCCAAATGGTCAAGTGGAGCGTTTTCACAGTACACTACCTGTGCCTTAAGATTCATAAAGACATCGACGATACTGTCGAATTAATCTTAAACGCATCCCTGGCATACAATCATTCCCTGCATTCGATCACGGAAAAACCCGATTGATGTAATACATGCATCTTCAGCATAACCCACTGATAAAAGCTCAACAAATGCAGCTTGATAGGAATAATGCTACAAGAAAAAACAGAGTGTTTGATGTAGGTGAAAAGGTTGTAAAACAAACAAAAGACTAGGATATAAGCTTACCCCTTTATGTTCAGAAGAAGTTATTCAGGCAGACCTGGGTATTTCTCTGCTCATTAAAGGGAGGGTGGTCCATAAAGATAACATACAGTAGTGTTCCTATATCTATCGCAGTCAAGAGTTATAGTGGATTTCAAATCATTTTCCCCACAGGGCTTTCAGTTTGATTATTGCCCTGCTGGCAACAGCAAATGCTCGGATCACCGACTATTCTCACTCCAGATACATAGCGGTAGTTGAAGGTAATGTATTGGTATGGGAACAAAGAGGCTGTCTTCTGTAGAAACTTGACAGAATTCGAAGAAAAAGGAGATGAAACGAGTAGACTCTCCGAAACCTTTCCACTATCTCACATGCGCAAATTACTAGACGTGGATTTAGACCACTCCAGAAATCTGTTGTTTGTTTTAAGGCTCAACATAGAATTGCCAGAAGTTTAGATTTTGTGCGCGCACCGGATGCCCCAAATTTTGATATGATAAGGATGACGGAATCAAAACTGATCAAGTTAAATAAAAGGCAAGGAGCAAATATACTTGCTTGCGGATACCGTGAACAAAATATTAAAAGGAAAATTAAATGAGTTTGTAGACACTAAACATATCTAATAGCAAGGAATAGAATGTTGATTACTGAAATTCAAAATCTGATGATCACAATTACAATCACAGTCTAATATTATAAATCCTACCATATTGGATCACAGCGATTTAAAAGCCGTATTGTCTGAACATCACACAGAGAAACCCATAGTTAGCCCACTGGAGGTCTCAACTATTAAGAAGGACCTTAAAAAGAATTGTTTATATAATAATAAACTATCCAAAGATTAAGTCTGTTTGCAAAATGATAATCATCTTGCCGATGTCACACGATGTCAGCTACAAGATGGCATAGTAGCTGAATACAACCAAATTCTGGCAGTCACCTACTGTGATGCAACCACCTACGCACCAATGTGGAAATTGTCTCATCATGACACTTGCGCATGCGGTCTACACTCTGGAAGAATGGCTCACAGTCGTTCTTAATCGAGCCTCTTGGGCCCAGTCACAGTCATAGATGACGGTATCGTAGTTGTAAATGAGATGTAAAACAGATGAGGGGCCAGAAGTATCAATTAACGGCTTAATAACCTTCGAGCGTAAGGCAATGATTAACGGCGTTCAAACCGCCAATCAACGGGAAGCCCTATACGAAGGCTGCGAGAAAGGATAGAGGATGCGGTATCACTCAGCTGTATACTGTAAACTGTATAGAAAGTTTACAGATACAGATAAGTTTAGCCTCGTAGGAAACACTTATTGATTTACAATAAAGCTACTTGCACTCCGGCAACTGGCCGTTAAACTTATCATTCTATTATTGGTGTTATGTTACTGAGCATGTCATAGTCCGGACCACTAGCTCACACCGCTGGACCGAGATAACAAACATAATATAATTTATATATGTATAAATATGTATATGTTTGAGAAAACTTTCCTGATGGAATGGAAATCGACGATGATTTTGTACGTTGCCCTAGCTATCGGTTGGAAGGCTGAGAATGTGGCATCTCCAATGCAAGATACTGCAGTTAGCTATGAATTTGCATTTGTTTTGCGAATGTTCCTGCTAGGTTTTTGAGAGCAGTGCTTAGAAGGAAATATATGATATATATATATATATATATATATTTATATATATATATATATATATATATATATATATATATATTTCTATAAACTGTGGTGCTCAAAGCAATAGGGGCACAGAGGGTTTCTCTTGACTACATTATGTCCAACGACCTGATGGTATCCAAATCAGTACCACTTTATCAAAACTTAGATGCGTCTCGATAGTATTGATATCGGAGTCCTTATCAATAACAATTTAAAGTTTCCAGAGAATTTCGAAAATTGCCGCTGCGGAAAATTAATTAAGTAAACGATAAAACATTCACGTTCAAAATAATACAGAATTTATGCGAAATTATTAGCCATGCCCCGATATATTTTAAGTCGATCTGTAGAGAAACTTTACGGTAACTAACGTTCCATATTAAGGTGATAATTATAAAAATGTAATGCAAGATATGTACAAGGCCGGAAAGACGGACATTGGACAAAAGCAATAAGGTCTTTTACTTCATGAATGACTATGGATATAAATAATTAGGTCCCATTCTATTGTCTCCAGCTATACGCTTCGAACCTTCAGCCGGAATGATGCCTCTCTATATGAAGTTCCATTTTGCATTTTTTTTCTTCCTCTCCGTTCTCTGCTATCTAACATATATGTATTTATATAAATTGCAATTGGTTTACCAATTACCCACTTCTACCTTTTGAGAGAAGATTATAGAATAATCATTAGTTATTTATTATTTGTGCGAAGGGTGTGAAAAGTACGAATCAAAAATACTTTTTCACAACAATCATGCGCACTTACACACTTACAATCCTTTGTTCTCACGTATATGCACGCGTGCAATACTCTTGTTGCCTGCTAAAATCTACAATCTACAATTTGAAGTTAAGTGGCTGTATATAATAGCGTTTGGAATGAAACACTTACGGGATATATCGATACCTTATCAATGTGTAGTGCTGAAAACAATCGATGAATATAAAAGTACGTAGTATGAAATTCGATAATATACCTATCTAAGTAATTGCCATCTCCAAATAAATTCACACGTTTGATTTTAGGAAAAATGGATAATCCTAAGGTAACAATGTAGTATGTTTAATTTCCAATTAAATTTAAAAGAGGTTTTTTATTAGTTATCGAGAGCCCTACGTGATTTGCCGAATAGAGTGCTGAATGTTGCTGTTGAGGAGCGTCTGACACTATTTCAAAACGTGAGTGACGTACTTGATAATCCCGGTAAGTTCATAGCTGGATATATAATTATTACTATATTAAATCTTACTGGCGCAGTGTAAGTTTTAAGAAATTGGTAGCCCACATGCTGTTAATAATAGCTATAAACCTTATTTATTTTTCTAAATAGTGTTAAATTATGAACATTATTGACAGTGAAGCAAGCTGTGTCTAGATTGTTAACTAATTGATATAAACAATTAAACAGCTTAAAAAAATAAAATAAATTAATTTTTATGTTTTAAGAAAATCTAGATTTTTACACATGTATATAAAATATATTAAAGGTTCAAGGTTTTGCATTATAATAATCGAAAAATTGATATATATTTTTCTTCATATATTGTAGGATAATGAGTACTTGACTTAATATATACCTTCACCATTCATTTAAACTTCCTCAAATACCATATAAATGTATACTATTCCTTGATAATGTGAATAGTTTTTGAGGTTTTTTTTTTTGTCAATTGTCAGTTGAAAACAAGTAAGAAAGATTAGGTCGATTGTGCCGGAGATCCTCTGAGCCCCGATCGTATTCGTGGTTATAAATACACTCTCAGATTCACAAATATATGCATGTAAAGTCTTACAAATTGCCAATCAAAAAAATCGTGTTGATTTTTGGAACTTGCAACATCACAATAAAATAAAACGCATTGCCTCTACCACTTCACTGTTGAATTGCACAGCAGCTAATGCAAACGAAGGTAGCAACTGTCAAATCAAACACAATTCAATCATTTGAATGTACGCTTGGTGCCATAGTAAAAACTGAAAAAGTAAAAACTGCCAATTAATCCATTTGATGAAAAGGCCGGTACAAACACATTAAAATTAAATTTAATTTAATTAATATGTAAAGCTAGATGATGGGACGCAGACATTCTATTAAATTAAATATACGTTTATCGTATTAAGATTTGTAAGCAACTGTAAAAATATAGTTATGCTTAGATAAATTGTCAATACAAATAATAAATGTAGTTGTGCTTACATACATTTTCAATACAAATAATTAATTAATACTTCAAAAAGTAAATAAAATCTATTTTTAAATCTATGACTTTTATTTAATGAATTATGAATTTAAAAAATCATATAAGTATTTATTTCTATAGCTTATATATCTTAACTATTTATATATTACCTTTCAATATTCCTCAATTCTCATTTTAGGTGTAAACTCAGCCATCATTAGAGGTATTTGTAAAGTGATCGGAACAACGTTATCAAAGTACAAGGATGCACCATCACAGCTACTAGTTCGAAAATTAATTTGTGACTTAACCATCTTTCATCATGACTTAACTATAGAACATATGCTAGCTGTTATTAAAACACTATTGCTAAAGGAATTACCATTAATACCTGCTCCAAAATCATGCAGACCTGCTGTTGTAGCCCTAGGATGGATTTGCTTGCTTTTAAAAAATGCAAATAGAGATTCAAATATTTATAAAACAGAAAAGTTGAGGTTATTTGAATACCAGTCGATGTTGTACCAAACAACTTTACTTGCCCAAAACACACGTGTCACAGATGCAGCCACAAAGATACTATATGATTTATGGGAGAATAATAATATTTTTAATGATACGTTGACTTCATTATTTCAAATGGATGCAAATTCGAATATTACAATACTGATAATGGCAATGATACGATTTGAAACTGAACACAGTCAGTTGAATATATTGAAAATATACAAGATTCAAATTATAGAATACTTTGTAAAAAGTATGATATTGTGCAAGTCGAAACCGGAAAATGCATTAATATCTGCTTGTCAACCATTATTATCAGCACTAAATAATTCAGAATTTTCACAATATATATATAACGATTTACAAAAGTCTATGCTTCGCAGTCCTGAAAATACCCTGGAGAGTGTTGGATTGATTTTTAACCTTATTAACATTGATTGTAGTCCTTACGCTGGTCAAATTGCTACAGTCTTAATTAAAAATTTATACAGTAAAGGAGAAGTTGCTCGCACTGAATCCTTACAATCTTTAAAAAGTCTATCACAAAAATGCTCAGATGTCAAGATTATAAAAACATTATTGGAACTTATTTTCTCTATTTTAAATGGATCTGATGGAAAAATAAATGTTGTGGAGCATAGAATAAAATTATTGCAGGTAATCTTATATAACTTTGTGGTTATTTTCGATATCATTTTTTTTTTTTCGGTTTGGCTCTTGGTAAAGGAAGTCGAATATTATTTTAGTTTATATATTTTATACCCTAATCCCATTAAAAAGGAAAATCGATATGTAATCGTTTTATTAAAATAATCTGTCTGTAGGAACGCGTCGATCTTAGAACCTGAACCTAGGCCCTTGAATTTGTTTGTAAGCTCTCTTGTAGCACACGCAGATCAAATAATTTATATTTACTATATAACTGCAACTATTGTCGTTTTAATATTTTCGATTTATTATATTGTATTATCGAAATGCAGATCTTAAATTATATTTCGTACGGTGTTAGAGCTAGAGTCTCCAAAACCTGTATTTAGTTTTATGTATATTTTATATAATTTTGATTTCTTATGTATTTTGTTAAGTGACTGAAATTCCCCAAATTATTTCAATTCAAGTTCAGTTTTATGTATAGCTAATATGGAACAGTTTTAATTTGTACTAAACTGACACATATACCGATAGACTATGTAGATATTTTCTGAAAATTTCCTTGAAATCCATTACGTAACATAAAATTTATAAAATCGCAACGATATAGTTGTATATATAATACGCAGTACGATCGGTAAGTCTATGTTCTTATCAATAAAAATCGATAATTTGACTTAGCGTATTTTCAATACCATAAAAGCTTGATACTTCAGTTATACTCTGTAGATTCCTGTAATGAATACGGACAATTTTTGCGCATAGCTCAGATTGTTGTATTTTATATCTTTGTTAGCTTTTTTTAATTTATGATCTGCATAAACTACTGGAATGTATGCCAGTTTAGTCAATTTACCAACTCGTTTAAGTGTTGGCTATAAATGCAACTGAACCTAAATTTTACAATTTTTCAAATTTGGTGAAAATTGGAGACGGTATAAAAAAAAAATCAAAACTATAAAATATAAACTCTATCTCTTTAGCAATATCAGATATAATTTAATTTACTCATTTTTAGTAGACAATTTTCGTAAACTGTATTCTTCCTGCACTTGCGAGACAGTTTTTGTAAACTATATTATTCCTAAACTAGAGAGTATGTAGTATATAACTCCAGACTAAAAATACTTTATTTTTATATTAACCTATTTTTTAAATTTCAGGGAGCTGGTTATTTAAGCTTTAACGACGTACATGCCAACGAATTACCCGAAATATTAAACTTGGCTGCCGATCTATTTAGCAAGGCGCTTGATACTGAATCCCAGGAAAAAGTGATATGCTGTACACTAGAAATGTTTGCGCTTTGGTGCGGAAGGTTCAAAGATGAGGTACCCAGTGTAATTATAAATATTTTTAAAACTGGCATAGAACATAAAAACACAACTCAAGCTATTCGACAAAGTTACCTTGAATGGTTGCTTTCATCAATGCAAAATGCTGACGTCAAGAATACAGAAAATATAGTTCCAAAATTGTACTCCTTATATTCAAAAGCTTTACAACAGTCCTCTCAGTTATCTAACATATCGGAAGCAGCATGTATTGCCTGTATTTTGCTTATTTTAGAAACACCATCTGATTTATATCCAGTTTTCTGGACTTCCCTATTTGATTTGAATAAACAATATTTTTTTAATGAGAAGTTATTAGCTACAGCAACTGCCGAAACTCTATGCCACATTTCATTTATAGCAAAAGTTATATTTAAATCATATTTAGACCAAGTCAGAGGTCCGATAGAATCATTGCACAAAGCATTGCTTCATAATTTATGTAGTTGTATACCTAAAGTGAGAACTTATACAAAAGCACAAATTGAAGAAATCATAAAATGTTCTGATGGCGTAGATTTTGTTAAACTAGCTCTTAGGGAGTATAGTAAACTTATAAATTCACCGAAATATATAAATGAAATAGACAATTGTAACGAACTCGCTGGTACTCAAGCATATGTAGATGCGTTAGAAGTCTTATGTGGCTTACAAAATGTGTCTTATAAAGACTCTGTGGAGTTAACTCTATCTCTTTTAGAAATTGCGAATTGTCCAACAATATTGTTCAATAATCCATACTTTTGGGAAACAACAATTCAGAACAACTTTGATTTGAATCCTGAAAGCTTCATTGCAAAAAATAAGGAGCAAATCATTGAAAAGTATATAAATAATTTTAAAATATCTCCAGTTTATGAAAATGTTATATCTTCAATAGTCCGAATAAACCCACAAACAATAGTGCCCCATATAATAGACCACATTAAAGCATTTCTGAAAGCTGACAGCAATCTCTCTGTAAGCAATGAAGAATTTTTTATCTTTATGACACCAGACGGAGAATTGTATGATAAAAGTGTAATACCGCATGTTGACTCTCAATATAAAACCAGTGGCGTTAAACGAGAAAACAAAGTTTACAGTTATAAAGAACAGTTAGAAGAAATTCAACTTCGTCGTGAAATTGACGAAAAGCGTCAAAAGGAAGGTAAATCGAAGACTGTAAAACTAACCCAGAAACAACAAGAATTAATAAAAAACCAAACAGAAAAAGAAATGCGTATAAAGCTGCGTGTTCAAGATATGCATGAAAAATTAATGTCTGTAATAAGTTTGTTTAAAGCTTCTTGTTCTGGAAATGAAAAATTCATTTCTTTAAATTTTTATACTTTATTAGATGATATTTTACGTGCCACCCATAACTCTTTATGTGCTGAACCTTTAACAGATCTTTACTATTTTTTACATAAAATGTGTTTTAAAACTCATTCAGAATTGGGACGCGCTATTTCTATTGCAACAATCCGACTTCAAAAACCATCTTGCACTTTAAAAGATGAATGGATTGAGAAAAATATTAATGAGAATATTATAGATATAATATCAGATCTTAAAAAATACGTTATTATAAATTCGAACATATTAGATTCACAGTCTTTTTCGTATGCATTTGAGTTTCTGAAACGTGCGATTACTTACTTCAGTAATAACACCAATGAAGAATTTATATTAATATGTATTAAATTGATTGAAATGCACGTCAAAAGGGAAAATACATCTACAGTTGAGTCTAACCATCCAAAGTACTTACCTAGGCTGGGTATGTTTCGCATATTACTATATTTGATGCAAAACAATTACACCCCCATCCAAACTCAAGCCGTAAATGCTCTGCTAGAAGTGGCGATTGTCTCATCTGGCGGAGAATCCAATTCTACACCAGATTATCATATAATTGAATTATTTTTGGATAGCTTGCAACATGAAAGCGATACTATAAGAGATGTAGCGTTACGTGCAATTAAAATAATGATTAACCCAATAGTTACTTATTCAAAAACTAATGCAGATTTGAATAAAAAAATTATATCCAGATTGTGGATAGCAAAATTCGATATTTCGACAGATATACGACAGCTCGCTGTTGAAATTTGGGACATTACTAGATTTTCTTATCCCGAGTTTGACGATATTATTTGTGATATTACACATCCAGAACTCTGTATACAAAAAGCATCAGCGGAGTCTTTAATACCAATAATAGTAAATAACGACAAATTAATTAAATATGGATTAATGAAAATGTTAGATATTTACAATGAAAAACTAACTTTAATTCCTCCCAAACTTGATAAGTTTGACCGAGAAATTGAACCTGCGTCTGATCAATGGAAACCTAGAAGAGGAGTTGCAATAGCAATATCTCAAATTGCTCAATTTTTATCTATTGAAGATATAAATTATTTAATGCAATTCATGGTATCGAATGGCCTTGGTGACCGAGAGGAAATTGTTCATAAAGAAATGTTAGCTGCTGCATTAAAAATAGTTGACTTACATGGAAAAGAGACAATTATAAGTTTACTGCCAGTTTTTGAAGAATTTCTTGATAAAGCGCCAAAGTCGCAAAGTTACGATAATATACGTCAGGCGGTTGTAATACTTATGGGTTCCTTGGCTAGGCATTTGGAAAAAGAAGATAAAAGGATTGATCCAATAGTTAAACGATTAATAACTGCTTTGTCTACACCATCTCAACAAGTACAAGAAGCAGTATCAAATTGTCTACCACATCTAATGCCGTCTGTTAAAGACGAAGCTCCGGCCATGGTTAAGAAATTATTACATTCATTGACTAAATCTGATAAATACGGAGAAAGAAGAGGTGCTGCGTACGGAATAGCTGGCATTGTGAAAGGACTTGGAATTCTTTCGCTTAAGCAGTTGGACATAATGTCAAAACTAACATCCTATATACAAGACAAAAAAAATTATAGATGTCGTGAAGGTGCGCTATTTGCATTCGAAATCTTATGTACCACACTTGGTCGCTTATTTGAGCCATATATAGTCCATGTTTTACCTCATTTATTACAGTGCTTTGGGGATTCTTCCCAATATGTTCGACAAGCTGCTGATGACACAGCCAAAGTTGTTATGGGAAAGCTTTCAGCTCATGGAGTTAAATTGGTACTACCATCGTTATTGCAGGCTTTAGATGAAGATTCCTGGAGAACAAAAACAGCTTCTGTTGAATTATTAGGTGCTATGGCATTCTGTGCTCCTAAACAATTGTCTTCTTGTTTGCCCAGTATAGTGCCCAAATTAATAGAAGTTCTTGGTGATTCCCACACGAAAGTACAAGAAGCTGGCGCAGATGCACTTAAAGTAATAGGATCCGTGATTAAAAATCCAGAAATTCAAGCTATTGTTCCTGTTTTATTAAGAGCATTGGAAGATCCTTCTAATAATACATCAGCGTGTCTCCAAAGTTTATTGAAAACTAAATTTATTCACTTTATTGATGCTCCTTCTTTAGCTCTTATTATGCCGGTAGTTCAAAGAGCATTTATGGATCGATCAACTGAAACAAGAAAAATGGCTGCTCAAATCATCGGAAATATGTATTCACTTACAGATCAGAAGGATTTAACTCCATATCTTCCAAGTATAATTCCTGGCTTGAAATCGTCATTACTTGATCCTGTTCCTGAAGTTAGAGCAGTATCTGCCCGTGCTCTTGGAGCAATGGTTAAAGGAATGGGTGAAACCTCATTTGAAGACCTACTTCCGTGGTTAATGCAAACTCTAACATCAGAGTCTAGTAGTGTAGACCGTAGTGGTGCAGCTCAAGGACTTTCTGAAGTTGTCGGAGGACTGGGTGTAGAAAAAATGTACAAGCTTATGCCAGAAATAATTTCCACAGCAGAGCGAACAGATATTGCTCCACATGTTAAAGATGGCTACATAATGATGTTTATATATATGCCAGGTGCATTTCCTGAAGAATTTACACCGTACATTGGACAAATCATTAATCCAATCCTTAAGGCATTAGCAGATGAAAGCGAATATGTTCGCGACACTGCCCTAAAGGCTGGACAGCGCATTGTAAATTTATATGCAGAAACTGCTGTGGCGCTTTTACTACCGGAATTAGAAAAGGGCTTATTTGACGAGAACTGGCGAATAAGATACAGCTCCGTTCAATTACTCGGGGACTTATTGTATCGCATATCCGGTGTATCTGGAAAAATGACTACTGAAACAGCAAGTGAGGATGATAATTTCGGTACAGAACAGTCACACACTGCAATAATTCGGTTCTTAGGTGATGAACGACGTAACAGAGTTTTATCTGGTCTTTATATGGGCCGAAGTGACGTATCGTTAATGGTCCGTCAATCAGCGCTTCATGTTTGGAAAATAGTTGTTACAAACACTCCTAGAACATTACGAGAGATATTGCCAACATTATTTGGATTGTTGCTAGGTTGCTTAGCAAGTACAAGCTACGATAAGCGACAAGTCGCTGCGCGAACATTAGGAGATCTAGTAAGAAAACTTGGTGAACGAGTTTTACCTGAAATAATACCTATACTAGAAAGTGGATTAAATTCAGAACATCCAGATCAGAGACAAGGTGTTTGCATTGGCTTATCGGAAATAATGGCATCTACGTCAAAAGAAATGGTTCTTACATTTGTTCACAGCTTGGTTCCAACCGTACGAAAAGCTTTAACAGATCCTTTGCCAGAAGTTCGAGTGGCAGCTGCAAAGACCTTTGAATCCTTACATAGTACTGTAGGCTCACGAGCACTGGATGACATTTTGCCATATATGTTAGAAGGGCTTTCCGATCCAGATCCTTCAGTTGCTGAAAATGCATTAGATGGTTTGCGTCAAGTAATGTCTATAAAATCACGAGTTGTATTGCCCTACTTGGTTCCACAGTTAACCGCACAACCTGTGAATACAAAAGCCTTATCTATTTTAGTTTCTGTTGCCGGTGATGCTTTAACAAAATACCTACCAAAAATTTTATCCGCTTTGCTAGAAACATTGTCTCAATCGTATGGGTCAGTTAATGAAACACAAGAACTGGAGTACTGCCAAACTGTAATCTTGTCTGTGACAGATGAAGTTGGAATCCGAACTATAATGGATACACTTATGATGTCTGCAAAGTCAGAGAACGTGTGTACTCGTAAATCATCAGCTAGCTTATTGTCTGCTTTTTGCATTCATTCACCTGGAGATTATTCTCAATATATTCCTCAACTACTTCGTTGCTTATTGCGTTTGATGGCGGATTCAGATAAGATTATAATTCAAAACGCTTGGGAAGCTTTAAATGCTGTAATAAAAGGATTAAGTCCAACTGATCAAATAGGTTACGTATCAGATCTACGCCAAGCAGTAAGATTTGCTGCAAGTGATTTAAAGGAGTCTGAATTACCAGGTTTTTGCCTTCCAAAGGGAATCACACCTTTATTGCCAGTTTTTCGTGAAGCTATTTTAAATGGGTTACCAGAAGAAAAAGAAAATGCAGCTCAAGGACTTGGTGAAGTTATTTTTTTAACCAGTGCAAATTCATTACAACCATCCGTCGTTCATATAACTGGTCCATTGATTCGAATTTTGGGAGATCGATTTAACTCTGGCGTTAAAGCCGCTGTATTAGAAACATTAGCAATATTGCTTCACAAAGTTGGAGTTATACTAAAACAATTTTTACCACAACTACAAACAACTTTCTTGAAAGCGTTACATGATCAAAACAGAAACGTTCGAATGAAAGCGGGTAAAGCATTATCAGAATTAGTGGCTATTCACTCTAGAGCTGATCCATTGTTCATTGAAATTCACAATGGTATAAAAAGCTCAGACGATTCTTCTGTAAGAGAAACAATGTTGCATGCACTCCGTAGCATTATTAGTCCATCAGGAGACAAAATGTCTGAGCAAATAAAAAAACAAATTTTTTGCACATTAATTAGTCTAATTGGACATCAAGAGGATACCACTAGAAATGCAGTTGGTGGTTGTTTAGGTGCTATGATAAAATATATGCCATCAGTTCAAATTTCTGATTTATTAAATAATTGTCTAATTACAGATAGTTCTGATGATTCATTCATTAAACATGGCTATACAATTATTCTCTTTGTTGCTTTAAAAGAATGTCCTAAGGAAGTATTGACAGAAAACTTTAATGATAGAGTAATTGCGAACATATTAGTAAATATAATTTCCGAAAAAGTACCGATTGCTTCTAATGCTGTTCGAGCTGCAACATATCTTTTAGAATACAAACTACTTCAAGGAGAAGATCCTCCAAGCAGTTTAATAGTGGCATTAGCTAGAGCAATGAACCATAGTAGTAATGATGTAAAACAGCTAGTTGCAAAGAGTTGCATTCATCTTTCTAAAAATCTTTACCCAGATCAAATACATGTCGATGTATTAAAAATTTTAGTTCCAACATTAGTAAATGGCACTAAAGAGAAAAATGGTTATGTTAAGTCCAACTCAGAATTAGCCCTTATATCTATACTGAGGCTAAGATCTGATGAAACAATGTTTAAAAAAACATGTGATGTCTTAGAAACAGGAGCAAGAGATTCTTTAAATGATGTCGTAACAAAAGTTCTAAAAAAAGTCGCAGTTCATGCTACAGTAAGGGATGAGGAACTAGATGATACATTACAAACCTGATTATTTTTATAGTTGTAATAAATGCTACAAAGAAAAATTGTTTGAAAATCAAAAAATGTATAAATCTTAATTGTCATTTAACAAAATAAAGGAATTGTTTCATTTAAGATTTTTATTGTATTTTGTAATCGTTCATAAATCATTCAATTTTATAAAGAGACCAACATAGCCCAGAACCAATAAATTGTTTACTAAGTTTAAAAAAAAAACAAATTTCTGTATTTTGAAAATGTATGTATAATAACGTATAATTTAATATAATAAATGAATTTGTAATACATTATTTAGTTTTATTAAAAATATTTCTCACGAATCAAACTTAAAAATTGGGCTTATCACCAAATCAAATAACAAAAACACTTAGATCCCATGGTTGTCAGTCACGGAAACAATAAATTAAAATACGCCATTATACGATAAAACCTTGGTCACTATATGATTATTTATATATTGTGAAGAACAATATATGCAAGTAATTGCTGTGATTCAGAGGTCGAACTGGAGTTGGCCCTTTTCGCTCATACAAATTCAGTAGAAGATGCTGTTGCTCTCGTGGCAAACGGGGATTGGATCAATGAGAGGCTGCCACGCTGCAAGTGATCTGAAGTAGTCAGATGTGCCAATCAAACACCTATTCCAGTATGAATATGTCATATACATATATAATAAACAATAATGCAGAAAGAATATAATATGAGCCTAGAATTCGGTAAATGTGAAGGTGTTTTTATTAACTCTTACGTTTTGGTTCTTCGGCGTTCTCTCTTGTTTACCCCACCCGTGGTAAGAGACACAGAGAAGGCGCCACCACCTTAATGCTGTCAGTTTTTATAAAACCCTCAGCTTTCCTCTCCCCCACCAAAGGTAAGAGAGATTATGATCCCGTCCTCTGGGTTTTTTAATATTTTCCGTAGCTTGTACCGAGCATTCAAAAAAATAAGAAAACAAAAACGAAACGACATTGCAAAACCAGGATTCGAACCCGGATTGTCTGTGCAACGTACACCAACTCTACCAACACCGCCACTTCATAATTTAAAAAAAAAATAAAACAATGAACACGTTTCATCTCCACCGGACTCGAACCCCGGACCCAGCTGAATGCGAGCGCAGCCTCTACCAAGGCAGCCACTGCACCTCTTGTAAGAAGAGTTGCAAATTTGAAGTTGAGTAGCAACTGATAATTCAAGCAGTATTCAGTCGCAATTTCGATTCTTGGAATAGAAAAGAATACACTCCTTTGAATGTATGAATGCACACGCACAGGACATGTGCATTTGCCAATTGGCCAAACGTTTTGTTTAATAACTTCTGTTTTACTTAATGGATTTTAATGAAATTTTCAGCATATGATTTACATGTCCTATTGGCTTGGTTGAGATACAAACGACTTCACATAATGACCCTAGTTCCAACTGAACTTAAATCTTATGAATTTGGGAAATCCAAATCCAAAATCCAACAAAAATCATAAAAATTGCATAAAATATACATAAAACTAAATAAAAAAATTTTGAGGCTCTAGCTCTTAAGACGTCAGAGATATAATTTATTAACTGCATTTCAATCATGTGTTTATTCAATAACAATTAAATACGAATAGGTATCGAATATTTGAAACAAACTCGATATGCGCGTGCTATACACGGACCAACAAAAAAAATTTCTAGCTTATAGATGCTGAGATCCACGCGTTCACACATACGGAAAGACGGACAGACAGACAGGCGGACAGGGCTCAATGGACTCGGCCTGTCGTCCTTATCAAGAATATATATGTCTGCCACGCCTCCTTCTGCCTGTTACATACATTTGCACAAAACCATTATACCCTGATTTCCCATTTTCAATGGGATCGGGTATAAAAAGGAGTGTTCGAATTCAAAAAATAAGTGGAACGGACATTAAGCAAATTCCAGATAGTGAATTTGTTGTGTTAATGGTGTTCTTTCTCAAAAAAATAAAATAAAATAAAAAATAAAGTTTAAAAGAGCAAGCAAAGTCCCAACAAAAGCAAAGAAAAAACAACGACGACAGAAGACGAAAATATTCGCATCAAAATCGGCAGAAGTCCATTCAGTGACAACTGGATCATCATCGAGAGTATCCGAGAGACCCCTGAGCTCTGATAAAATTAAGATAAGTTATTAATATAATTTTTTTATTTAAATAATACACTAAGAAATGCTGTCAGAAAAAGTCATAAAACTTTTGGAAAAACAATCAGACTTAGTATTCAGATTAAAAGAGTTAGACTCATCTAAAAAATTTAGAGAAGTTTTAAATAAGGAGAGAAATTAGTGAGGAATCATGCATTATTGATAAAAGTTGGAGTAATAAACCATGCATACTTTAAGAATTGGGAATTTTATAAAGCGGTAAAACTAATAAAAAATATAAATTTATAAATGAGGAATGCGGAAAAAGAAGAAATAAGCTGTAGAGCATATTAGAGCAATTACGATTCATGAAAAACAATGAAGAAGCAGAGTGCAAGAACAAGGCTGAAAAGCTAAGAGGAATTTTTTACGTAGGGAAAAGTAAAATAATATTCGTATGGAACAGAATTTTTAAAATACTTCAAGAAAAAAAATTTGACGAAGAAGTAAATGAACAAGAATTTGATGTTCAGAAAACAATCAGCGCTTTCGAAGCAAAAATAATGATTTCAGTTCAACCAATAACCCAAAAAAAGGTGGGTAATCTTACGGGATTACCGAGAAAAGCTCAACTTTCAGAAGTTGATAAGGTATTTGCACATCTAATACTAAAGAAATTTAGTAAGCAGGCACTTCAATTATCTGAAGGTAAAATAAAGAAGACAAAGGACGTACATTTACTGACGTAATGGAGTACTTGGAGCAGCAATATTGTGCATAATCCGCATCAAGTAAAGGCGAAAAGAAAATGTTTAAATACTCTAACGACAATATGCAGCGATATTGTGCATTATATAAAGATCTTTAAAAACTCTATTGACAGTAATTGTCCGACATGCAAAGTAGTAACTAATGGTACCACGCAATTCATTAAATTAAGGCAATGAATCCGAATGAAACAGTACACATTACAAGGGAGTAACAAATATGTATAAGGTATTTAAAACACACATACAGTTGGAGGTGTACAAACTTGTAACCCATCACATATATAAATAGAAGTTGAGACGGAGTTAATACACTGCTAACAAATGAAAAAGCATTATTGACCCCTGCCATAATAAAAGTGAAAAAAAAACAAGGGGAACTATATTGATTTAAAGGCTTTAATGGAAGTGGAATTAGAAGAAAATAAGACCTAAATGTGTACCCTTCGAATTCATGTGGTCATTATACCACTTACTATTTGGGATAATGGATGCAGATGATAGACCACAAATGGAAGAAACCATGGCCAATTCATTAAATAACCAACATAACGTCAACAAATTAAGTGAAAAACAAACAGCAACTATTCTGAAAAGATACCAGTGACGATCAGATAATCGATAATGGTACACCAATGAACAGAATAGTTAGTGTATAACTTCAAAATCATCTTATCCTATCATCTAATGTGTGAAGCTACACTGAACAAAAGTAACAAAACGCATCTGTGAAGGTAACTGGCCTTGAAATTTCACCATCATACGTTGAAAAAATTGTTGATATTCCAAAAAAAGATAGGAACCCATTAGAACTACCAAGAGTTAACCATACAAAGGAGATTGAGCATTTAAAAATAACAATACAGCAAACTTTCGCCATATATCGGGTCATGCGTCTATATTAATAAGCAATATTATTGTAATAATTTCATCATAAAAATGATAATAAAATTTAATAAAAAGAGGCTATTAAATGTTATAATAAATCGTGGTCTCGTTTAAGAATATAAATAATTAAAATTGTAAAATATCAAGCCACGGCTTCTCTTAGACCCTGGCAAAATGTTCAAGAATAAACATGTATCTTATGATAAATAATAAAAAGCTGCAGCGGCTACTAAGGATGCAAAATGAGCTTAAACGACAGCACAAAACACTGTGAGTACAAGTCACAAACGTAGCCTTGTGAATCCGGCTCGAAGAACCAAAATGTGAATACACATAACTGTGGTGGTGTTCAGTTGTGTAACGATCTTTATTCGTCTGAGCAAGAGCTCTTATACCCTGGCTCATGCGTATTTCATCTCTTAGCCTAAGTACATTATGTAATGAGTTCTGCGGTTGAGTGGAGCTCCAAGCGGGAGTCATACTATGCTCTCCCTCTGTGTAGCTTCATATATATAGCTTGTATATATTTATATGCATATGGCATAAACATTAGGCAAGTAGCATAGACCTTAGGCAAAGTGCGAACGCGGCATCTCCCACGCTGCTGGTCAGACCACACTTAAGTGGCTGATTATATTCCTATTGTTTATCTTTGCGCTCGCCCTATGTTTATGCGTAGGGAAAAATGGGACTATATGCGTATTTTGTATACACTATCATATGTTAGGCATATGACGCATTTATATGTAGAACACTCTACATTGCTTCAGGTATTATTAATATGTTATTAAATATACTACAGTATGTTCATGCCTGAACAACACTAATGAGTGACACATAAGTAAACATGTGTGCACTTGTGTGCACAATAAAAATGATCTTTCCAGTGACTGGAAGTAGTTTTAAGATTCTCATAGTACGTCTGTAAGACTAGTAATTTAAGGGAATAAAATAGTTCAGATTATTATTATTATTCTTAGTAAATATAATTTCCGAAAAAGTACCGATTGCTTCTAATGCTGTTCGAGCTGCAACATATCTTTTAGAATACAAACTACTTCAAGGAGAAGATCCTCCAAGCAGTTTAATAGTGGCATTAGCTAGAGCAATGAACCATAGTAGTAATGATGTAAAACAGCTAGTTGCAAAGAGTTGCATTCATCTTTCTAAAAATCTTTACCCAGATCAAATACATGTCGATGTATTAAAAATTTTAGTTCCAACATTAGTAAATGGCACTAAAGAGAAAAATGGTTATGTTAAGTCCAACTCAGAATTAGCCCTTATATCTATACTGAGGCTAAGA